ATGTTCTGCTCTTGAATCAGCTGGGTGGGTCTTGCCTCTAGCCTCTTTGCAGGGAGTTCTGCTGAAGGGTTCCGTGCTGGGCCTGCATGCAGCCGGGGTCAAATGGGAATCCCTGGCCCCGGGTTGTCTCATTCACTCGCCGGGCCTGTGCTCTGGGTCTGTGCAGGATCCCACGGCCCGGGTCCTCTCTCTCACTCGCTGGGCCTGCGCTCTGGGTCTATTCAGAATCTGGAGGGCCCTCGGTTGTCTCACTCAGTCCCCGGGCCTGCGCTCTGGGTCTGTTCAGGATCCCGCGGCCCGGGTCGTCTCACTCACTCGCCAGGCCTGCGCTCTGGGTCTGTTCAGGATCCCGCGGCCTGGGTCATCTCACTCACTCGCCGGGCCTGCGCTCTGGGTCTGTTCAGGATCCCGTAGGTCGTCTCACTTATCTGGTTGTTCTAACAAATCTTCAGCTGCTCTTTGGCTTTTTTCATGTCTGTCTCTACTTGCAACCAGTTGACTTTAATATGTCCAGTGTGGTTTGCAAGCTGAAGGAGAAAAAAAATCCACCTCCAACAACTGTTACAGCCGGCTTCCCAACCTTCTGGAATATGAAACCAATACACCATCTTGTGACACCTCCAATTAACAGCTGGGTTGCCACACTATACTTTTCAGCAGAGTCCAGATTGTTGCCCAAATAGCTTGTGCCACCATGGCTGCTTTTTAGCAAATTCTGCAAGGTCCAGTGCCTCACATTTTCTTTCAAAGTTTCCTTGACTGGATGCCGCCATTTCAGCTAGCTCATCTCAGGAATAATTTTGGGGGAAAAAAGACTCATAAGCAGACCTGTCAGAGTGAGAAGAGTTGCATGAGCATTCAGAGTATCTTGAACACTAGCTTGTAAGTTTTTCAGAAGAGATTATGAAGACTGGTAAACTCGTTGAATTGATTAAAAAGCAGTACGACTGGCATTACAGTAATAGAGTTACTGTTATACCAGATGGTTTTGAATTGATATAGCCTTTCTTTTGTAGTTTTATTTAGAAGACAGCTCACAAATTCTGCTTTCCAGGAAGTTTTTCCTAGCCCTCTGTTCTATCTTTACTTGTTCTTTTATTACTTTGTCTTTTGTCTCTACTGATTGTGAACTTGATGATAGGGATGACCTTATTCATGTTTTAACTTTAGAATTTATATGCCTGTTGTAGCTCTTGAAGAATGTATGGAATGAATTCTGTCTCTTACATCATGATAAATGGCTTGGATCTCCACTTTAGCAGCCATCGAAGTTTAGTTACAAAATTTTTAAAAAAGTTTAGTTACAGAAATCTCTTTTACTTACAAGAGGCTCCTTTGAGGGAAATAAAGCAGCTATCTGATCCAGTGCATCACTTGGTCAGTGTTGAAAAGAAACTCACAGTAAGATGAAGAGATTAAATAAAAAAATAAAAAAAAAAAGATGAAGAGATTGCTTTTGAACCATGTTTGAAAGAAGCTTCAGTCAATATGATACTTACTGTAACTTTTTAAATATATGTTTCATTTTAGGCTTTATCATTTTAAAAATCAGTGATTGTTTTTATTATTTCAAATAATTATTTACCATCATTAGTGTTTAGAAAACATTATTTGCAAATAAAACCTATTGATTGAAGTCTTCTCTAAATAGTCATATCGGGGGCCTGCCCCTTAGCTCAGTTCTTTCAGTGTCTGCTTAAACAAAGCAGTCAGGCTCAGGTTGCTGTGGTTTGATCTCCAGAACTCAAGCCAGCCAAACCTGCTCTGAAGGCATTCTAAGACAGCCAAAAAAATCCTTCTAAATAGTCATATGAAGCAAATATGTTAAGAATTTTTTCCTATTGTATTACTTTAATCCCAGTATAGTTTTCTTCACTTCTACTTCTGGTCAGCATAGTTGATGACTTCTGTTGGTGTGCCTTAATCAGCCACCCCTATTGCATGCTTCTTTTATATAAGGAACTGGATGATTTAAAAGAAAAAAAGGATATAGCATCCGTTCTCCTTTTAATGACATTACTTGAGCGAACTGTATGATACAGCCCATACTTGACAAATTTTTATTTGTAAACAGTGTTATTTGAGTCTACCTAATAGTTGAAGGGCAAGATAGATTCCAAGACAACTTATATAACCATGCATAACACTAAATTATGTATTGTAGTTCATACATTAAGTGATATAGGATAGGAGTTTGAAGGAAAAATAAATACCTTGGCTCAGGATGTTTAGAAAATTTTTATAAAATTGATTGCTAGTTATAATTTCTAATCAGCCTGGAAAGCCTATGAGATCAGTTGTGTTCATGTAGATTTTGTATGTGGTTGTGTAAGTTTTTATTTAACTACTTGTATTTTATTCTTTTGGGCCATTTCTTCTTTATGTACTTTATTGTAGTGGGAAACACATAACATAGAACTTACCATCTTAACCATTGTATGCTTTTGTCATATAAGTGTGGTCCCATCTGTGAAATAGGTCACCAGAACTTCATCTTACAAAAATGACTTGCTAGATCCATTAAAGCAACTTTCCCAATCCTCTTTCTGTCCATCTCCAAAACTTTGTTCATCTTCCCAAATTAGAACTTCTTACCCATTCAATAGTAATTCCTCATTTCTCATCTCCCAAGCCACTGGCAATTGCCATTCTACTTTCTGTTTCTGTCAATTTCACTACTCTAGGTAACTCATATAAGTGGAATCATGTAGTATGCCTTTTTGTGACTGGCTCATTTCACTTAGCTCACCATCCTCAGTATTCATCTTTGTAGACTATAACAAGATTTCCTTCATTTTTAAGGCTGATATTTCATTGTATGTATATGCCACACTTTATCCCCTCATCTAAAGACACTTGAATTACTGCCTTGCCTCAGCTATTGTCAATGGTGAAGCTGTGAACAAAGGTACGCAAATACTTCTTAAAGACCTGCTTTCAGTTTTTTTAGATATTGCCAGAAATGGGATTGCTAGGTCTTATGTTACTTCTGTTTTTAGTTCTTTGACAAATTTCATGTAGAATTTTTGACAGATTTCATTGTTATTGTTCCTGCTAACCTGCATCTGTGAGCCTTTGTTTCATATGATGAACTTTCATGATTAATCTGGATTTCTCTTTTGCATATCTAGGGCTCATGCAGAATCTCCACCGTGTGTAAACAACTTAAAGACTGACATTGGTGATAAAGGGAAGAGTAAAGATGCAGGGGAAGTCTGTAATCATGAAAAAAAAACTGCAGATACTAGTCTCGAGCCTTATCCAGAAGAAAAGAAGAAGAAACGCTCTGGATTTAGAGACAGAAAAGTATGGAACAAAATCTTATAAATTAATCAGAATTGTATCCTTAAGTAGAGTAATGACGTTCACTTTCTTCTATTATGTTTTTCAGAAGGTTCATATTCATTTCTGAATTATTTGCCTTTTTGCTGTTTTCTATCACATTGTAAACCAAACATACTCTTGAATGTGAAGTTGGGGGGGGAATAGTTAACAAGTGTAGGTTTAATAAATTAGCATAGTTCCACTGCCTACAGCAATTCTTGCTTTTTAGACCTTCTCGTTACTTAGCATTATTATAGATATATTTTGTAGTAACTCTGTTGTATAATATCAGGTTGTGAAAGGAGAATAAAATATCTTTGGAAACATAATTTCCAGAAAATCAAGTAACTTTGAGGATAGAATAAATATCAACTGACTATTCTGTTCCATATAATAAAAATAACCTGTTGGTTACAGCTTTACCTCAGAAAAATTTCACTTCCACTATAATTATGCCTGGGTTCTTAGACATTTGAGTTCAGCAGACATAAGTGATAAACAAACAAAATATTGAATTTCTTAGATATTAGCTTATTCAGATTAAAATTCAGGGAGCTGCCTTCACCTGCTAAACGATAGCCTAATATTGCAACAAAATGATTGGAATTATTTCTTTGTTGTGTGGTACATTGTATTTCTTTGCAAAAGTTCCTCTAGAAAAATTAGATCTTTCTGGCTGTACATTTGCATAAAGTTATTAAATATGTCTTCTTCACTCCTAACTCCATTTCTAATTGAAGTGAATTAAAGTAATATATCACAAGTTAGATAATCATGCATCCTATCTTTTCTGTAGCCATTTATTTATTCTTCATCCTTGAGTAAATTCAAAGAAAGCTCAGCTTTACCCTGTGTTAGCAGTTTCATTTGCAGTCATATTTTCCCTTTTACAAAGTAGAGTTAAATTACTAAATTAACATTTTTTTAAACCTGCTTGTATTTTCCTCTCCTGGTTTCTCCTTAACATATGACCAGTCTCATATTTCATAGAAAAAAACAAACAAACCCTAAACTACTGGGGCAGTTTACTTAGTTTCTGAACTGCTTAGCTACAAAATCTATTTAATCTATGTCTCAAATAATTCTTACTGCATTCACTAAAGTCTCGGGAAAAATCTCTTTTCCCTATTCAAGGATAATCATTCCACATGTCATTGTCTGCTCAAAAATCTATTTCATCACCTATTCTTTTCTTTTTTTTAGTTATTTGTATATTCATTATTTTACATGGTCTGTATAAATATGTTAAGGAGAGCTGGTGAGATAGCTCTGCGACCTAAAGCCTCTGCTTAGGCAAGCTTAGGCAGGTGCAGGTCAAAGGAGGTTCGATCCTCAGCACCACATGCCTTGCCAGCCCTGCCCTCAGGGTGAGCTGAACTGGCCAAATAAATAAATAAATAAATAAATAAGTTAAGGATTCTTCTATCTCTGATTCTTTAAACATTTTTTACTAGTACCTGTCAGTAGTACATATTACTAGTACCTGTCAGTAGTACATAATGGTGGATTCTGTCCTGGTAAGTTGCTACCTGCACTTAAAATGCATTAATTAATGTCTTAATCAGTTGTAATTCATTACTCATCTTCTTCCTTCCCCAACTCCCTTTCCTGTTTACAGGTCTATCTCCTGGCTTCCTGTCACTTCTCTTTTATTTTATGTGTGTATTTATCTATGTATATATGTACATACTGTTGAGGATTCTCATATAGGAGAAAACATGTGATATTTAATTTCCTGAGTCTGGCTAATTTCGTGGGTTTAACATGGTTTTGCATTCCATCCATTTTTTAGCCAATGAAAAAATTTCCATTGTTGCCATCAGTAATTTCAATGTCTCTGGTTTTATATTTAGGTATTTCATTTTGATTTGATTTGATTTTAGTATAGGGTGAGAAATAGAGATCTAGTTTCAGTGTTCTGTGAGTGACTATCCAATTTTCCCAGCAACATTTGTTTAAGAGCCTATCTTTTCTCCAATATGTTTTTGGCCCCCTGGTCAAAAATTAGATGTCCATAGGTGCTTGGGTTTGTTTTTGTGTCTTCTGTTGGTCTGTCTACATTTCTGTTTTGGTGCCAGTAGCATGTTGTTTTTATTTCTCTATCTAATAGAGCTTGAAGTCTGATTTCCCACTATTCTTTTTGCTTATGATTGCTTTGGCTACTCTGGGTCTTCTCTGATTCCAAATGCAATTCAGGGTTACCTTTTCTAATTCTGTGAGACATTTTAAATAATACCTCATAGCCTGTAAGTTCAAGAATTTGAGCCACTTTTCAAGTAAATCATCTCTTAAAATGCTCTTCATATGTGTTCCATGGGTGAATTAAAACAATTTCTTAAGTATTGACCTCTTAATATTTATTACTTTCTTACTGAGCTAAAATCTTGCCTGTAACTTTATCCATTGTTCTGCTTCTGCTATTCAGTATCACATGGAATGTCTGAATTATTTAAAATTTTTTTTTACTCTGTCAACTTCTTTTAATTTCCTTTCCCATCTCCAAGAAGTTTAACGTTCAATTACTTATTTTTTTATTTAATTCTTTACTTACATATCAGGTTTCTCATAAAAGAGAAACTGTGATAATCTTTTATGACTGACTTGTTTCACTTAATATCATGGTCTCAAGGTCCATCCATTTTTCTTCAGATTACTCAGATTTGTGTCTTATGGCTAAATAATACCCCATAGAGGATATTTTGTAGTTACCATTTCCTTTTGGGGGGAGGGTTATTATTTTTATGTTCATAAAACAATAGTATATATTTCACCCAATTTAGTAGCCAGTTCTTTAATCATTGTCTTTTTCAGCTTGGCAATGTGAGGCATGGATTTTGGGGCCAGGACATTCCCAGTGACAGCAGAGCTCATTGTATTTCATAATTGATAGTTAGTTTCCAGTGGTTTCCACCATCTGAGCCAGAGTTAACAAGGGCAAAAGTGATGATGATCCAGATCTTCCACTGCACCAGATATCCCAGCCTGGCCTTTTGGTAGATTAAAGAACCCCCACTTGAGTGATACAGGGTGGACAGAAAGACAGGCAAGTGAGTAGGGTCCATGTCATATGCAGCCATCATCAGCTGACCCTTCTTATTCTCCCCCAAGGTGATGACAGTATTACTCCTGCTCAAAGGATGGGTGACCTCTTACTGATGACATCAATTTCCTGCTAGCTTTCTTCTCAGTGCAGGTCAACATTCTCTGCCTCTTCTCTTGCTTTGTCTCTGGTCTGTACTTGTGGGCCAGCTTAGACAGTCCATGACCTGAGTGAACTGGTTAATTGCAGGGGACTCTTTCAATCCCTTAAACATAGCCCTTTGCCATTGCAACTGGATATGCCAGAGCCAGTGAAGTCTCTTTTGGACTGAGTGTCCTATTTCATGCCAAAATTGTTAGGTCTTTTCTCAAACAAGAGATTTATTAGTGTGGTCTCTCACTTCTTTAGGACAGCAAGGCTGGCAAGAAAACCATCCTTCCTGTTGGCCTTCTTTCCTTTCAGCATTTGGGAGGCTGGAAGAGAGATAGTTCAGGAGACCCTTCCAGGTTCTCTCAGTCCAAGAAGTCAATATTTGTAATCCCAAAGATATGTTATTGGAGTCCTACCAAGTTAATTCCAATCTACCACTCCCAATGCAACCCATGGCAAAAGTAAAGACACTAAAACATATTTTAATTATTGGGGAGCCAAGGGGCCCTAAGTCTGGCCATGAAGATGGCTTTCCGGAACAAAGAGACTGATGTAGGGCCGCACCCAGGTTTTATTCAGTGGAAGAGTGGCTTAAGGAGGAATGACTGAGTATTGGAAAGTGAGTACTGTGAGCTGAGCTAGGTGGGTGGCCTACATTCTTCTCTGCCATATGCAGGGAGAATATGCAGAGAAAGTAATCTGCCTTATGCTATTGAGATAGTATCTAATGTTTCGGGGGCCTGGTGCTTTAGTTCTGATGTAATCTTTCAAGTCCCAAGAAGTCATAGCCTCTGTCTTGAGGCTTGATCCCAGCTGGCAGCGCAGAGCATTGGCTCTTTGTCCTCTCTCGGGCTAGCTCACATTAAAGAGCAGCAGGTATAGGTTACCAGGGAAACACGTACCATCTTCAAAGACTGTCACCAGCATCTCAGCCAGACCAGTATATGTTGCTTAAGGCCAGTTGAAAAGATAAAGAGAATTCCTAGCCAGCTTTGTGCATATTTTTTTTCTTATTTTTTTCATTTTTATTTTCATTTTTTGCCATAATTTTATTGATAAACAGCAATGAGACAGTTTCAAATCAAATCGGTAGGACAGTTACAATAATTAACACACTGCATGCATTCTTCCTAGTGGTTAATTGCTGTACAAGATGCGGACTTGATATCCTATTTACAAACACCATGAGAACAAATCATTCTATTCATTAACAATGTAACTATATATCTATCCTAACCACTTTGAATACACAGATACAAAATGGACATTCCTCTGTATACCCTTTTTTGTTAAGTTCCGTTATTTGAATATTATAGGTGTATAAACTCAGCAAAATATTCTAAAAGAGTCCAGTATCCCATAATAGTATCGGGTCTTCCGCTTAACTGGCAATGTCAGAAATTGTTGACCTGAGTCCCCCACAGCTCAACATAACAGCATGGCTTTATTTCTTATATTTCGTTTTTATACTTTTCTTCTGGATGGTTAAGACCAAGGTAAAGCAGGACCTATGCAACAAGAGTTGTAGCTTTTGGGTCTGATAAGTTCAGTGAAATCCCCTCAGGATTTATCCCAAGGTCCTGTACCTCAGATTGTAGAACCTTTGTCAGTGTCAGCCTTATGGATGAGTCACGGCCATTGCTTGGCCAATGTGCTCTCTGTGAAAGCCTGAGAGAATGTTTTCTCTCCATGTGACTCTCCTTAGGCACACTCTACATCATTGATCACTTTCCTCTTTGGCCCCATAATCTCCTTGATCAGAAAATTTGGGACACTACTGAGTTACATGACGTTACAGTACAAGTTCTCATATGTCCTGAGTCTTAGTTGACCTTGGAAGGCGAGGGCCAAAATGTTGGCTTTCCTTGCAGCCCTCCTTTTTCTCTAATTTGGTCTGCAAACTTAGGTTGTTAACCATCCAGAAGACAAGCTTGTTGTTATTATCAAACAACTTAGGCTGTTAAGCTTAACCTCATTATCTGTCTGCATATCAAACATCTTAGGCATAATTCTGTGCATATTAATACAAGGAAATAAAATCAGCCTCAGTCAAAATGGAGACAGTCACTCCTCTTTCAAGGAGAGCTTAGGTGGTCCTCTACAAGATAGCTCTCCTCACCTCTTCCACCCAAATGTCTATCCCTAGACATATAGCTTAGTGCTGCCTGTTTTGATTTATATTCTTTTGGTTGGTGCTGGGGATTAAATCCAGGGCCTCAGGCATACTACACATGTGTTCTAACGTTGAGCTGACCTTCCAGCCTGTTACGTCTTTTAATTCTCTTATTGTATAGGTGACAGAATCCAGGCTGTTTAACCTTTACAAGTTTTCTGTGTTCTGGATGTTATTGATGATTATTCCCAGTGCCAATTAGTATATTCCTCTGTTGTTCATGTTACCTCAAAATTGGCAGCTGAATTTTGAGCTCAAGCAGACCCAGGTTTGATCCCTGTAGCAAGACTAGATAATATTTTCTTTTCATTAGGAAACATCTAAAGTCTAGTTATTTTTTTGTTTGTTTGTCATATTAGCAGCTATGGATATTCAGTACCTAAATCTGTTCACTGTGGTTACTTAAAATTTTTTTATTTGAATATTATGAAACTTTAATTTGTTAATTTAAATATTTTATAAAAAGATATTCTTCATATTTCTGGTTGCAAATACTCTTTGGCTACTCATTGGTGCAGTTTGCTTAGGAAAAATGAATTTGATCCATTTAAGTTTGGCGGTTTTGTTGATGACAAGTATCTTAATACACTTAATGATCTTTAAGAAAGTTTGATAAATGATTGAATGAATTCTTAATTCTTAGTAAATCTTTTAACATTGCTGAATCTTTCAGCAGTTTATTTCTACTTTAAACTTCGTTATCTTGGATGCTGTTCCATTTAGTTGCTTAAATATAGCCAGTTCTGGGGCCAGCCAAATAGCTCAGCAGATTAAAGCGCTTGCAAGCAGGCACAGGGCCCGGGGGTTCGATCCCAGGACCTGCACTGCTGGCCCCCAAGGGCGCACTGAGGGCAATTGAGATTGGGCGTGGTGGCATGCTCCTATAATCCTAGCTCTTGGGAGGTTGTAAACAGGTGGATCACTATAAATCTGATCTAGTAGTGAGACCCTGAACACCCTGTAGATCCTTCCCTAAAAATACACACACACACACCAAAAAAAAAAAAAAAAAAACACACACACACACACACAAATCCAGTTCTATGTATTAGGTATGTAGTAATTTTCAAGGTATAATGTGAAGCTTAAAAAAAAGTAAATATATACTATGTTATCATATATATAACAAATTCTACCAGCATGGGAGTACCTATTTTGTTCCTTGGCCTTCTGTTTCAAAGTAAATCTTTATAGCCTTGTAAAACCACTGGTTTATATTAACTTTATAGCAAAATGTATATGTAGGGCTTAAATTGTGATCAAATTAATTAATACTTAGCAACATCATTTAGCAACTATTATAAAAATCAAGGAACAGACTTTCAATCTTAAAAAACCTTGACTTTTATGCTATTATCTTTCAATTTTTTTTAATCTTTCAACTTTGTATGATTGATATTTTAGTTCACAAATCCCTCTTTATCAATAGTTACCACTTACAGATCTTTACATTCCAACCTCAACCTCTGCATCTCTCTAGCTCTGTCTCTTTCTCTGGTTTTGTTTTGTTTTGTTTTGTTTTGTTGAGACAGGCTTACTGTATAGCTCACATTTGACCTTGAATGCACTATGTAGCTGGCCTTGAACAGTGATCCTCCTGCTTCATCCTCCTGAGTTCTGGGATTACAGGTGTGTACCACTGTGCCCAGCTAGTGGTTGTTACTGTTTAGAGGAAATACAAGAATACAAATGGCTTAGAAAGGTATTTCTTCCATAGTCAGTATTACCGTGCAATCGTAGTCTAATACAAAATTCCTGTGATAAGCTCAGTCTCAAGGCTGCTGAGGGGTTGAAAAACTCCTTACTGTGTTTGCCATATGCTCGATCTTTTGCTAACATCTCCTTTGAAAGCTATTCAGATTTTAATGCAAGTTAGCATTGAATTCTTGTCATGTGTAGTTGTAAATGAGGATTCTTTTCTCAGTTGCTAAGATCACATCTGGTAGTGGAATTAAGACCATTGTAAAACAGCTGCTGCCAGTGACCTCAGAATGCATCTAGTCAGGACTGGCAGGTACAGTAATTCCTGTGTTAATGTGGCAAATCAAAAATATCAATAATTTAAAAACTGTTAGTTCCTTTATAAGCATAAGACCAATGAGATCTTAGGTTTGATTGCCATGATACATTTTCTAGCTAGTTATTTATAAGATGTATTTGTTATTGGCTGTCTTAACACAAAATTCAGGTATAAGAAAAATTTTCACCAAAACATTATGTGATTGACATCATACTTTATGTTGTATGCTTAGAATGGGGATTTGTGTGTCAGATAAGGATCTGAACAATCATATTCACATGATATACTTTTACTAAATATATGCTATACCTGACTTGTTACTCTTCAAACATTTTCCTGTTGTGTACTTTCCATTTCCACTCCCTTTTAAATATGCTGCATGTAAAGAATTTCAGGAAGTTTATTTTTTAGTCAAAAATCTTGCCTCAGACATGTTAATATTTGGATTTCCATGATATGTAGTTTATTTTTTTATGCCATCATTTAATGTATTTTGTTTTTGAAGGCCTGCTGACTATTCAAACTTAAGAAATATCAAGTCTTTTGTTTTAGGATTCATGAAACTGAATGGAACTAAGAACTATAAAGTTAATCCCTTTTTAGGGGCCGGGGACATGGCTCAGTAGGATAGGCCCTTGCCTGGGAAGTGCAAGGGGCTGAGTTCAATCCCCAGTTCCACCAAAAAAAAAAAAAAAGTTAATCCCTTTCTAAAGATGGTATTTAAGAACTGTAAGCTATGCTTTTTACATACCATTGTATGGTATGTTATGGAGACCTTCTAAGTTCTCTTAATGACATTTTTTCAATTTTGCTAGCTTTTAATTTTTTAAGAAATTAGAACCCAAGGAAGTTGTTTATGGCTGTATTGCAAATTCCAGCAAAGAAAGGTAGGAAAAAGGGAAAGAAGGAACAGGGGAGGGAAGAGAAGGAAAGCAAAAAGGAATGAGAATCCTTCAAGAAGGGCTGGCAAGATAGCTCAACCTTTTAAAGTGCCTGCTTAGGCAAGCTTAGGCCGGCACAGGGGACTGCAGTTTGATCCCCAGCACCACATGCCACACAATCCCCACCCTCAAGGTAGGCTGAGCCAGCCAAAAAAAAAAAAAAAAAAAAAAGAAGAAGAAGAAGTAAAATAGAGCAATTTTAGGGCTGGCAGATAGCTCAGTAGAATAAGTGCTTGCCTGGCAAGCACAAGGTCCTGAGTTCAAGCCCCAGTACTGGAAAAAAAAAAAAAATTCCAGAAAGTATGTTATTATTTTTTTTATTATTATTTATTTATTTCTACATTTATTTATTGTGTGTGTGTGTGTGTGTGTGGCCAGCTCATCCCACCAGGGGGCGGGGCTGGCTGGCATGTGGTGCTGGGGGATTGAACCGCCGTCCCTGTGCTTTGCTAAGTTTGTTCTAAGTAGGTGCTTTAGACCACTGAGCCATCTCTCCAGCCCCTATGTTATATAAAATTATACAGCATTGTAACAATTGAGATATAAATGATATATTCCAAGAAAGAAAATTCAAAATTTTTAAATTTTATTTATAGTGTAAAAATCCAATTATAGAAAAAGATCTAAATGAAAAATGTATGACATGAAAAATAAGAATTGAGGGCTGGAGAGATGGCTCAGTGGTCTAAAGCACCTACTTAGAAGAAGCTTGGCTAAAGCACTGGGACCGCAGTTCGATCCCCCAGCACCACATGCCAGCCAGCCCCGCACCCTGGTGGGCTGAGCTGCCCCTCCACACAGTAAATAAATGTAAAAAAAAAAGAAAAATACGAATTGATGAGTGTTGATGCTAAGAGTATATGAGTATTGCTTAATATGGTAACACTATTCAAATTTCTAATTTTAGGTGATGGAATATGAGAATAGGATTCGAGCCTACTCCACACCAGACAAAATCTTCCGATATTTTGCCACCTTGAAAATAATCAATGAGCCTGGTGAAACAGAAGTGTTTATGACTCCACAAGATTTTGTGCGATCCATTACACCCAATGAGAAACAACCAGAACGTAAGGTGCTAAAGTGAAAAACAAGAGACTGTTACAGACCTCTTTGCTTCTTTCCAAGTGTTTCCTGAATTGTATTGGTCCGTGCAATAATTACATTCACTGTGTCACTTTTGACTGTTAGGCACTGTGCTGAGCCATAGGAATACAAACAGGAGCCTGCATGGCAGGGAGCAGGGGATTCAAGAGATCATGCCCTTGTGGGTGAGATTCATCACCAGTAATGAGAGTATTCCTAAAGGCAAAGCTGTGTACATGTGACCATTACAAGATTACTTCTTTTTTATTTATTTATTTTATTTATTTGATACAGGGTCTCACTACGCATTTCAGATGCATAGTGATCCTCCTGTTTCAGCCTCCCCAGTGCTGGGATTACAGGCGTGCGCCACCACACTCAGTTTTGGGGGCTGTCATGGTGTACCCGGGGTTCATGGTATGCGATACTGGAGATTGAACTCAGGTCCTTACATTTGCCAGGCAGACACTTAGACCGCCACCGAGCTATCTCCCCAGCCCAAAGTTACTTCTTAGTAAAGGAGATAAAGACAGTAATAGATAATTTTAGAAATGTGGAATTTGTAAAAGAATATTATGCAGAAGTCCTGTGGCAGTGAAAAGGGGATACATGTTGCTCAGTCTGGAAGTTTGGAGAATGCTTTCTAGACAGTGTGTCTACATTTGAATAAAATTTAAGCAGGCAAAGAACTATGGAAAGGACGTCTTGTTTAGAAGAAACAGCCTGAGCAAACAAGGTTTGTGGACAAAAAATAAATGGCTTCAAGTTAAATGTAACAATTTAATAATGCATTTGTAAGGAAAAATGATGGAGTAGGGAACTCCAAGATTTAAATGTTCTACTGAAGTAACCATTAAGCTGACAAAACAGACCAGAATCCATTTTTTAGAACTCTGTGATCTAGTTAACATACAACCAGGGCATTGCTTAATAAAAAAAGGGGCTCCTACATTTTGGCAATTAGTACTTTTGCCTACTGTGTCCTATTTCCCAGCTCAGCAGCAGCCATCTGGTCAGTAGCTACATTCCTGGTGTGGTTCACTGCTTGGGAGGTACGGCTGTGGAAAAAGGGAGGTGGGCAGTACTGACCTTGTTCTCAAAAAAGTATGGTTGTACAACTTGCCTTTGCTAACACTAACTAGTACAAAGGCTTGCCTGTACTTCGTGTCTATGGTTTTTAGCAGCTTTTCATGTGTCAACCACCAAAAATAAAGACATGCAGTATACTACTCTAGTCACCCAGGCCAGTGGACAGCAGATAGGACAAGCAGGAAACATATTAAAAGGCCCCAGAAAGGAAAACCTGAGAAGAGTGCTATCTGGAGGAATTTTTTTAAGAGCATAAATCTTAATTATTTGGTTTCACTAGTTTAAATACTTGAAGTGTACAACATCATGCAGATTATACATCTAGGTACCTTAACAGGAAGGTTGCTTCAGGATTTGACATGAACGAAACACTGTGTGCACAGGAGGTACCTTTCCTCAAAGTACTCTGGTTTGGCCTGGTTTGCTACCAGAAAATCATTGTGTTGTTTTTGCTTTGTACATATAAGTGCATCTCTTGTGCAGATACAAAATTTAGTTCCATCTCCAGCATAAGTACCTTCAATTTTAAGAAGAGATGTGTGTTTCCTCTAGTTCCAGAGACCTTGCTTATAGCCTGCAAAAAAATGTCCTGTTCTCTAGTCTTCCAGACTTTAGAAATCTTGGTCCTAACAGGATTCTACAGGCTGTGAGATGGGGGAAAGAATGGGATAAACTATGGAGCATTATCACACAAACAGAGAAATCCAAGTGCAGTTTGCACATTCTAGATCACATACATGATAAAGACTTGAAAGTTACAGTAGCATTATAGATGGCCTGACTGAACTGCACTTGATTCTGAGCTCAGGGCCAGTCTACAAACACTGAGGAAAGTTTATTTTGTATTCTTTTTTGGCTGAAGCATTTAAGGAAATCTTTTATCAGTTGATTTGCTGACTCCTTACATAACACATGGCAAGGAATACAATTATTTGGAAAAGTCACTCAGCAAGGCATAGTGGCATATACCTGTGATTGCAGCTACTCAGGAGGCTGAGGCAGAAGGAACAGAACTTTGAGACCAGCCTAGGCAACTGAGTGAGACTCAGTCTAAAAATAAAACTTTTAAAAGGGCTCAGTAATAGAGCACTTGCCTACCATGTGCAAGGCCCTGGATTTAATTCCTAGTACCAACAAATCAAAGTGGAACACATATGACTACAGTCTTCAATAAGCAGCAGCATCAAACTCCAGAGAGTAGGTTAATATTAAAGATGTCTAGTTTTCAATAAAATACACAATATAATATTCAAAGTACTCAGTTTTTAATAAGACAATATGTGGCACATCAACAATCAAGAACATTGAAACATTAATAGAAGAAGAATAAAAAAATAAGCCCTCCCTGAGGGTAGAATGCCATACAGTAGCACACACACAATAATTCCAGGAGAAATTATTCCCAGATAATTAGAAGTTTAGGTATTTTTTTGCTTGTTGACATTACTTACATGAAATGCTGAAGAAAGTGCTTTAGGTTGAAGTAAAAGATACTAGGCAATAACTTGAAGTTACATTAAAAAATATAAAATAGTAAACACCAATAACTATAAGAACCATTACAGGATAAGCATGCCTAATCTAAAATCTATAATCCAAAATGCTCCAAAGCAAATTTTTTTTGAATACCAACACGATGTCATAAATGGAAAATTCTACTACTGACCTGTGTCCCATAATAAAAATGCTGGTGCACTAAAAATATTGCATGAAATTGCCTTCAGGCTGTGTGTATAAGCTGTATATAAAATATAAGTGAATTTGATGCATGTGATACTCATACTGTACTTTCCACTGTGTTCAGTGATGAATTCTGATACACAAACTATGACTTCTCAGGTAGCTCAAGGGAAATCGAGTTCTGATTACCCACAGCCCTTTAGTTAGCTTTCCCTCATCCCATTTCACTTTCCTCAGTTCTTCTAGACTGATCCTCTGCTTTTTAAGAAGTCTAAGCTAGTCATCGTGTGTTTGTGAAAGAACATAGGGCATTTATAGTGTAGAATTACCTACATTCTAGATTTTAAGGTTGTATCCCTCTGGTGTTCCTCTGTCCTTTTTTGTTGTTATTGTTTTGGTTTTTTGTGGTACCAGGGATTGAACTCAGGACCATGCACTTGCCAGGCAAGCACTTATCCTACTGAACTATCTCCCTAGCTCCCCCCCCATCCTTTGTATTTCACATATACAGACAGTATTTAAAAACTACCTGAAAGGAAGCCAACCAAATGATAATTCTCTGAATATTGAAATGATAGTATCTTTCTCATTTCTGTATGTTCCTTTATTTCCTGATAGACATTGTATTTGTTCATTCAGTGAGTTGATTTGAGTATGGGCTAGGGGATACAGTAATTCTTGCTATCATCAACTAACCCATAATTTATAAAAAAGCTATACCAATTTGTTACATTGAAATGTAGATTTAGACCCTTTTAAGTTTGTTTTAGCACCTTGTTTTGTGGGTTGTGGAAGAAAGTAAAGGAGGCTTGGGGGCCAGGGAGAGGGCTCAGTGGAAAAAGAGCTTCCCTGGCAAGCGCAAGGGCCTGAGTTCA